TGCAAAAGCTGCGTGAGCTCTGCATGTATGTCTGGGGATAGAAGGGACATGATTGCGACGGCTAACGGACGAGAACGCCGCGCAGCTATGCCTGCGAAGTTGTTTGAACAATCAGGTCAAGAGGTAAAGACTCTTTATCGCGGCTCAGTTAGCGGCTGGACAAAAAAGAAAAGTAGGCAATACAGAAATCGAAGTTCTGTGGTGGGCGTAACAGAGCAAGGTGGGGGAGGGGAAGGGTGTGTGGTATGTCTTGGGCGTGTGCTGAAAAAATTAAACTGCGATAGTGCCTATCTAATCAGTTGAAACTATGCCGAGTATCTAGTAGGTACTTGGAGCCGTTAAGTACATGCTCACATCAAAATTGGTGAGATTAATCAATTGCCGGCCTTGAAACTCGTTAAAAATTTATAACATCTAATAGCGTTAGCATCATCTTTGATTAAGCCAAATATTTCCCTGGCATGTATCTCGTGGCAAAGAATTCAAGGTGCTTTCGGTCTCATGAAGATACCCGAGATTGAGCCACCTACCTAAAAGTACCTACCTAAGATCGCAAAAAAGAATGGAGCAATGGAGCTACCGAGGAAGCCTCTTACAGTATTGCGACGTGCTGAGTACCACCACAGGTACTGCTAAGGTCGGCCGTGGTGAGGTGAGAGGAGTACGACTGGTACATCCTCTCTGGATCACCTACAAGTTGCTTCGCTTGCGCATACCTACGCCATACACTCACTCTTCGATCAACTTTTACCCACTTGCTGTTCTCTCTATGAAATCTTGTTAATATGTAACGGATAAGGACGCAACAACAGCAGGATTTAATATGTCTTTCAATACCGATTCAGATATTCCCTCCAAGTTACCTGAGGCAAAGGCCTCGCCGTCGCCACACAGGTCGCCTTCGAGCTCGAGCACCAGCAAGGCTTCCCATCGACAAAGCTTCACTGAAGGATTCCGCAATCCTCCACCTTCGCCCCGCCATCGACACCCCTCTCTGACCCAAGCTGCAATCCAAGACCTTCTCATTCACCCACCTTCCACCAACAAACACCAAAACCCCAAGTTTGTCGGGCGGGAATGGAGAGACATCACCTTAGGAGAGCTTATTACAGCTGAGGATGTAAACTGGATTGAAATCGGAGGCAGCGTGGAGGAAGCCACATTGGTAAATGCGACCCATTGAATTCGCATGGTTGTTCTGTCCATACTGACGCCATTACCAGATGCTCCTCCAGAGTTCAACCGGCGTTGTTCTCGTCAGAGACGAAGCTTCTGCTACATCGCCAACATTCTGTTTTGATTATAACGATCTGAACGCCTACCTCCTCACCGTTGTGGGTGTTTCTCGGCCTGAGAGCGATCAAGCCACGCTTTTTCATGACATCATGACCAAGGCTCAAGGAGGAGCTCGTATATCACTTCGCGAGATCCAGACCTTGTGTTCCAGAGAAGCCATCGTCAAATTAGACTCAGGTGTGAATCTAGCTCAAGCTATAGAAAAGCTTGGTAGCGGAATACACAGAATCTTGGTTACTGAACAAGCTGGGAATGTTATTGGGATTATAAGCCAACTTCGCATGGTGGAGTTCTTCTGGAACGAAGGGATCAATTTTCCCACCATTGACCGACTTAATCCAGTCACGCTACAAGAGTTAGGAATTGGAGTGCGGCCGATAATTTCAGTCCAGTGAGTACACTCAATGCCAATAGTAATGCACTACATACTCAGGAATTCGAACTGACAAGCCCTTAGCGCCGACGCTCCTCTTACTGAAGCTTTATCAATCATGTATGATGAGGGCCTTTCAAGCGTAGCTATTGTAGACAACGGACAAAATGTGGTGGGCAACATCTCAACAAAGGATGTGCGGCATTTGACAAGCTCCTCGAGTGCATATTTGCTTGGTAACTCTTGTATGCACTTTATTTCCATCATTCTAAACGAAAAGGGGGTGGAAAAGGGACAAGATGTCTATCCCGTTTTCTACGTAAACCCTTACTCAACATTGGCACATACCGTAGCCAAATTGGTGGCAACAAAATCGCATCGGATGTGGATTGTGGATGCAGGACCACAATCGTCACCTATGTCAACGCCTACGACACCAATGACCACATCACAGACTTCTATATCAGCGGGGACAGTTCCAGGACCGATTGCATCTGCTGTGCCTGCAGTCACAGTTCCGGCAGCTTCGATGGCCGGGGCTCTGTTGTCAGGCAAACTAATCGGAGTGGTCTCGCTAACAGATATTCTCAACATATTTGCCAAATCTACAGGATTGCACCCCTCTGAGCCATGGGAACAGAGAGTACGCCGCCGACGCAGCTCGAGCAGCTCCGTACGGCCCAGCGTAGAGTCTTTACGGTCCAGCGTGGAAACAAGGAGGTAACGTATTGTGATATTCGAGTTTAATTCGTGGAAAACTTTTGAGGCTGTTCTTGACACAGGCGTTGCACAAATGTTCATACTCCTTGATAATGCTAAATACGATGTAATTCATGAAGAGTGAAGCATGTACTTTGAGAGTTAATTAATATATTATGGTAGTAAGTATATCGGTTTGAATTCATTATGTGTTCAGTTTCAAGAGAGGAGCACGCGGATATCAGCCGATGTCCTTGAGAATCTTAAGTCCCCAAGTGGACTGGATACGTCCTCATCGCCGCTCTGCCTTTCAATAGCCTCTTCCAATCTCTCGAAATCAGTGCAGAATTTTTCAGCTGCCTGTTCTACAATAGCCCGAGCTATTTCTGAATCTTGTAGCCCCTTCAGCCTGTCCATTGCGTCCATCAATGCGGAAGGAAGAAAATCGTCGAGCTCCTGGCTTGCTTGAATAACAGAAGCTTGATCTATCTCAGCAAGTTTACCGTTATCTAAGAAGTTTAGCAGGGTATCCAAACCCGATTCCTGGCGAAAAGTAATATGCTGGTTATCAACCAAGTTCAGGACGTCCCTTGAAATATCTTCTCGAATCTGACTCGCTCGGGAAATTGTACTTTCAAAGCTGTCAAGACAAAGAGCCGCCGCAAGTTTGCAGTTGACAAGGAATATTCCGCCCTCGGGATACGTCATAGGCTTTGCTATCTCCTCGCAGCCAGACATGAATGGATCAAAAGCCTGTGACAATATGCTCTGTGCCTCGCTGCCAGAATCTGCAGACGCAGATAAGGAGGATTCGTAAGTCTGCAGAATGGTACCAAGCTGCTTAAAGGCATCCTGAAGAAATCGTGGTGGTTCTAGATTTGAAGGGACTTGCTGGAACTCTCCTTGGATAGAGAGAATATTATCTCTGACGAGTGATCGGAACTGTCTCTTAGCTTCTTTCTCAAGACCTCCTGTACAATCTTCTAAGCCCGATCCTGAACCCAGAAGCTTTTCAAAGGTAGCTCTGTAGAAATTGAGAAGCGTAGAGATCTTGTAGGCAGGAATGACATCCTCGTTGGATTGTACTGCCTGCTCGACCCGTTGGCGTAGTATTCGAACAACAGGCGAGAAACTACGATCCATTAGGTGGTTGAGGGCTTCGAGAACTTTGAAATCGGTGCCTTGCGAGGCCTCATCCGAGGGTAGAGTCCAGAGATGTGCATTTAGACTTGTAGTTGACGTTTTGAATACATCATCCTTGTCGACTGCAAAAAGAGTCTCAAGCGCTTCTCTCTCGCCCACCGTGGCAGAATGAACCCAAGCAAACATATCGCCGACATAACGGAGAGGATCATGTGCTGTTAGATCAATAGGCCTAGTAGTTGCATCTTCGGTCCCTTGTGGTGTAATGCCTGTAAGGGCGCAGTGAAAAGCTTCTGATAGAAATCGTTCTCTGGATGCTGAAAAAAAGTCCAGACAATTCTGAAACAGAGAAGGCCTTTCTGCAAGGACTCGTAAAGCCTGTCGCATGGAAGGATTCACATTGGGATTTTCTAAATTCAGTGTCCTGAATTCTTGCTGAACCCACTTATAAAGCTTTTGGAAAGCCATATTTATATGCACAGACGTCCGGTCGATCAATTCTAAGCCGAGGGTTTGGTTTTCAAATCCAAGCAGAATGTCGCAACCAAGAGTAATATTCTTTGCCTTTTGTAGATTGGTGAAAAATGCATTGTCAACTGGTCTGATAGTTGAAGTAAGAGAGTCAATCTCGTCCTCTGTCATAACGAAATAACGTTCAACTGCACTGAGAGTCTCTTGCTTCCTCTCGATTTCCATGCGCTGCTCGAAAAGGGACGACATTCCTTGCAATGCCGGTGCGGTTCGATCATGAGCCAAATCGATTTGGCATTTTATATCCTCGAGCCTAGAGTTCAATCTATCCACTACTCCTCGGACGAGTTTCAGTCGCTGCTTGGGTTACTACCACAGTATCCTATTGGGAATGGGTAGGGTCTAACGTACCTCTGCAACAGCGCCCATTTCCTTAACAATTTCGCCATTGCAGCTAATTGCTTCTCCTAGAAGATCCAGACGAAGTAGGCGCCTAGATTTACCACTGCTTCCCACGAATCGTTGATCGGCTAAGAGAATGGCATCGCGAAAGTCGTTATCAGAATAAGAAGTGGAAAGTACAGATGCAGCCTTTAAGACCATAAGATCAGCTCCTTTCCCACTAGGTGCACTTGAAGAGGTCCACGATAGGCCATGATGAGGATTGGCACTATTCGGTGAAGCCATTGGAGCAGTCGAAGAGCGAGATGCGACTACGTAAGGTAATTGGTGTATGAACCGTAGACGTGTAAGTCATACGATTTCATAGTAATTAAAATTATTTAATAATTTTAAATTAAACGTAATAAAATGCTTAAATACTAATTATTAAAATATAAAGTAAGAATAATCAAATTTTAAAAAGGGTATTATTTATTTAATTTTAAAGAAAGTTAAGTATTGGGTTAAGAAATTGAACTTCTACTTGCTTTGGAAAAGGGCTTGGAGAGCGGTGTATGCTTATAAGTAAACTGAGTCGGCGTCCTATCACAACAAGGAGCTAGCAAGAGCTTAGCAAGCCCCCCTGGCCTAATGGCTAAGGCGTAAGACTTCTATAGATGGAATCTTAAGATTGCGGGTTCGAGTCCCGCGGGGGGTTTTTTTTGCGTTTCATTTATTCCCAATAAATCGAAACTAATATTTTTGCTTTTTATTCCTCTAGCCAATATATACAAACAAGTTGTTGCGCATTGGTTTTTACTTCATTGTTGCTTTTTCTCTAAATTGTTTATGTTTTAGGGGAGCAGAGTTAATATACTCATCCAAGGTCAACCCCACCTTACCTTTACACAGCCCTTTCCCATACACGTCCTACTTGCACCCAATTGCTAAGGGCTCTAGAGCCTTGTATCTCTGCACGAAATAATGTATTAAAGCGTGAGCTGTCACAGAAACAAAAATTCTCCTGTTTAAAGTAAAGCAGGTAGCTGACACCTAATGAGCCACTGGAGCAAATAGCCAGTTAATTACTAGTAAGTTCAGATTGCAAGAATTGGGGTTCCTTATCACTATCCTTCCCCGTATTCTCTCTCATCCGCGGCTATCATATGCTCTTTTCATTGTATTCAAACTGTATATATTGCAGGCTTTTTATTCTCTTAAAAGCTCGTTTTGTCAACTCACTAGGTTAGTTCAGGGTGCCTCTCTCCGAAGAAAGATGTTGTATATCGTGTGGCGGGATGGGGTCACAAAGGCCCATGCAAATAGTGTTTGACATGTGTCTTTTGTAAAGGCCCAGGCCGTCTTGTATCCAAATGCCCAAAGGTCAAGCCTTGCGCCATTTGAGGTCAAAAGAGCCATAAAGTTCAGTATTGTCCTGATCAACGAACTTTACGGCCTCTGCGACAGTCCACGATAACGCCTTCCATCAAGGTTGCTTCTGCCATCATTGATATCGTTCCCTACATCGAGAAATTACACAATGAAGTTATGTCCCCAAAGCAGCATGATGAAAAGTGGCTTGCTCTTCCCGAAGAAGTCAGAGTTGTTAGTCTCCCCGACCCCCTAATTTTACTATACCAGATGCTTACTTTAGTTAAAAAGAGCACCACTATTCATCACCCCTTTATATTGCTAGACTTGAAAGCTGTTGCTCTACGCTTGCTTGACGATATTTAAGGCAATCGCCTAATTGGCGCCCAATCTCTCCCGTATCAGGCTGCGATAGAAGCTCATAGTAGCGCCAATGCCGCTGTGGACATGCTGTTCGCAACCATCAGGCCAGAAATTATAGAACTGCAGGGCAAGATTGTTTCTACCGCTGCTCTTACTTGTATCAAGTTAAGACAGAGCAAAGACAGCCATTGGTTCTCGCCGGTTGGTTATGCCAGCTTTGTTACCGACGCCAGGAATTCTAAATACGTTTGACCGCATGTTGGGTAGTGTAATGTCCCCAGACGGCGAATATTTCCCCAACATATGCAATCTATCCTCCTGGGAAAACACGATACTCTTCATTATTTCATCTTGTGGCTGGAAACGGTCATGGAACGGCCAATTTCATCAAACTTTGGGAGTCCCCATCCAATTAATATCTGATGAATGGTATTAAATTCAAAGCAACTTACTCGAGGCCCTGTTCTGCAAGGCTTTTTTTACTCACCACGGCGCTATTGAACCAACTATGCCTGGTACTGACAGCACCCACTCGAAGTATCAAAGTTATGGATTAAACCTCATGGCTCCTTTGATCCAAGGCAGAAGAATGCTGCCAACCATGTTGAGACTCAACGTCAACGCATCAACAATGGATTCGCCAGATCCACAAATTCGTCACTGGGCATCCATTCGTCAAACCCAAAAAGAGTCTCAACTGCTTCCTGTTCTTCAACCGTTGCAATTTCGGACAGATTTTTTCCAACGTCTTCAGCGCGGCGATCTCAGATAATAACATTTACCAATCCTTCATTAAAGATTTATTGGAGAGCACTGATTCTAGCTTAAAGAGCGAATTTAGTAATAAGCTTGAGTATATTGTCACCAGCAGTGTATTATTTATGGGTACTCTTTTGGCTAAGATTGGGTTTGTCTTAGACTATGGGTTGATTTTATAAGTATATGACTCAGAGGTTAGCTCTATAGAGAATAATATAGTAAACTTAGACCTGTATTAATAGCTAGGAGGCTGTGGATTTAATACTATAAATAAATACCCTTGTAGTTTTCTTTAAAATTTAAAAAAAAAAAAGTTTTTTTTTATATATTTAATTAATTAATTTTTTTTTTAATTTTATTATTTAGATTTTTTTTAATAAAGTTTATAATAATAATAATAATAATAATAATAATAAATAATAATAATAATAATAATAATAATAATAATAATAATAATAATAATAATAATAATAATAATAATAATAATAATAATAATAATAATAATAATAATAATAATAATAATAATAATAATAATAATAATAATAATAATAATAATAATAATAATAATAATAATAATAATAATAATAATAATAATAATAATAATAATAATAATAATAATAATAATAATAATAATAATAATAATAATAATAATAATAATAATAATAATAATAATAATAATAATAATAATAATAATAATAATAATAATAATAATAATAATAATAATAATAATAATAATAATAATAATAATAATAATATAATAAATAAATACTTAAATAAATTATTAAAATTTAATAGATAAAAAAAATACTTTAAAGTTTTTTTAAATTACTAAAAAATATATATATATTAATAATAATAATAATATTACTTTAAATACTTATATAAATATAATTATTTTTAATTTTTTTATTAATTTCCTTATATAAAAAAAACTTCCAAAGTAAAAAAAAAACTTATATATTATACTTTTACTTTAAAAATAATTTAAAATTACTATAGTTTTATTCTTTTAAAAAAAAGTATATTATTATATAAAATTTATTTTTTTTAAACTTTTAAAATTTTTATATTTTGTTAAAGGAAAAAAATTGAATTATTAAATAATTAAAGATTATTGAATTCTTTCCTAATTATAAGGCTTTGCAAGCTCTTTTTATAACTATAGTTAGTTATTATAGTTACTAACTAATAGATTAATAGTAAGCCTAAGGCTTACTAAGTATACTAAGCTATAGCTATTATAATATTTATAAATAAAACTTTTTTTTATTTTATTTATTTATTTTATTTTTAATTTAAATATAAATAATAAAGTAATTATAAATAGTTTTTTATTAAAAATTAAATAAAACTTTATTTTTAATTTTAATTTTAATTACTTTTTTTAACTTTAGCTTTATTTATTTTTTTATTATTTAATAACTAAATACTTTTAAATTTACTTTTTTATATATTTATAATTTATTTTTAAAGTAAATTTTATTTATATTTACTTTAAAAATTTACTAAGGTAATTAAATAAATTATTTACTTTTATAAATAACTTTTTTAATTTTAAAATATTATTTACTTTAACTTCAAATTACTTATATAACTTAAGTTTTTTTTTTTTTTAGCTTAAAGTTAACTTTAATTTAGCTTATAAAAGTATTTTATTAAAAATAATAATAATAATAATAATAATTTTTAAAAAAAAGTAAAGTTTAATATAAAGTTAACTTATACTTAAATTCTTATTATTTTAAAAAGTATTATTATAATATTAATTTTATTTATTTTTTTTATATTTTTAATTAATAATTAATATTAATATAATTTTATTATAAATTTAACTTTGTTTAATAAAATTAAAAAAAAAAAAAAAAAAGTACTAAGTTAATAATAATAATATAAATAAAGTTTTTTTTTAATAATACTTTAACTTTAACTTTTACTAAGTATAATAAAAATAATTCTTTTATTATTTACTTTTATATTATTAAAAAAAATATTTTTTTAACCTTAGGTTTATTTTATAATTAATTTAATTTAATTTTATATTAATATTATATTTTATATTAAATATATTACTTATATATACTTATACTTTAAAATTATTTATTATTAATTTATTAATAAATTATCTTTAATTTATTTTTAACTTAAAGTTAATTAACTTTTTTTAAGTTTTAATAATGAATATTAAAAATATATTTAATAATATATAAATTATAATAAAGTAAATTTTCTTTATTTTTAATTTAATATTTAATTAATTTTTTCATAGCTTTTCTTTATTACTATTATTATTATTTACTAAGTAATTACTATTAACTTAGTTATTATTAATAATATTACTATTATACAAAAGGTAAATAACCTTAAGGAATTTAATAATAATATTTTATTTTATTTTATTATAGGTTTTAGAACTATAAGGGTAATTTAAAAATTATAAGAAACTTTTCTATATTTTAATATAGCTTTCTAAAAGCTTCTTAAATTTTATAATAAAATTAATTATTAAAATAAAATAATAAAAATAAAATAAATATTTATAAACTTATATTTTAATTTAAATTTCTTATTAATAAAAATAAAAACTATTCCTAAATAGGAATTTTAATTATTTAAAGTTTAAATATTAAAAATTATAGAAAAAATACTATTAATTTTTAGATTAACTTTAATATATAAATTTAAATTTAATAAAGTTTTATAAAGGTTATATTTATTATTAAAAAAGTTAATAAAGTTATAATAATTAAATTAAAAAAAAGCTATACTTTAGCCTTTAGTTTAAAATCTAAAATTAATTTATAATTTAACTTAATTAACTATAGTTAATTAAATTAAACTTTAATAATTTAGGTTATAAAGTATAGCTAATTAAGGTTTAAGACTAAACTTAAAATATATATATAAAATAACCTAAATAATAAAGTTTAAATATAATATAATTAATATATAAAAAGACCTAAATAATAAAGTTTAAGTATAATATAATTAACTTTAAGCTTATAAATTATAGTTTAATAACTTAATTAAACTAAATAAATATTCTTTTATTAAATTATAAAAAGTAATAATAATTTTTAAAAATAAATTATATATATAATATATAAAACTATATAATAAAATAATATACTTTAATTATTTTTTTAGTAATAGTTATAATTTAATTATAATAGTAAAATAGCTAAATAAATAATTAAATTTATAATTAATAAAATTAGAAATTTATAA